TTTGGGTCTAGAAGTCCCATGGCTCTTGTGAGAATTCTGCCTTAAAAAGGCAAAAAAAAAAATTAGTTTCTAACTTCTGACAGAGGGTGGCAAAGTTTTGCCTAGCAGTGAAGTCTTCAAGAGAGTTACTTTATCTATTTGGAGGAATTTTAAATGAACTTTGGTCTTATGCAGAATGTGGTGGTGTCTACAATTGAATAATGCAAACAACTTGGGAAGGAAATTTAAAATGTTGGGGCCTAGATGATATTCAAAGGTGAATTTTGTTTTATTTTATTTTATTTTATTTATTTATTTTTAGAGAGAGGGGAAGGGAGGGAGAAAGAGAGGGAGAGAAACATCGATGTATCGTTGCTTCTCCTATGCCCCCTACTGGGGACCTGGCCCACAACCCAGGCATGGGGCCCCGACCAGGAATCAAACCTGTGACCCTTTGGTTTGCAGGCTGGCACTCAATCCACTGAGCCACAGCAGCCAGGGCTCAAAGGTGGATTTTGCATGAAGAAATAAAACAACATAGTTTTGTTAGAGTGACTTGCCTTTATTCCAAGGGAGACCATCCACAGCGTCATTTACATACCGACCCGCCCCTCCCAGGCCCTGCTTCCCAGAAAACAGATTTCAGACTCCAGACTTGATAAATATCGAAAGGCTGTCACGGCCCTGCCGAGGCCCGTTTCCCTCGAGAAGACCAGCGGGCGTGGCACGAACAGATTTCCTACAACAAGCGTGTGTCACCCCCAGAGAAGACTGGAGGTCGTGCGGGAAGTGAGCGGTGCCCTGGATCGTGACAGGAAGCCCGCCCGCGTAATCTTTGCAGCGAATAAACATCCTCAGTTTCTAGTATTATATCATCCAATTCCAGGAAAACATTACCATAATATGAGATAGATGAGAAAATAAATAGCAGTCAGGACTATCCGGCAGTGACGAATGCGAGGTTTCCCCTCTCGAGACTCGGGGCGGCCTCGCTGCGTGGGGAAAGCCGGTGGGAGGTGGTCCTGGGTTCAGATCTCAGCGCTGCGTGACTCCCTGAACCTCAGTGCCTCTGTGCGGCGCGCCGCGGAAGCGATCCTTCCTCCCCAAGGGTGGCCCGATGTTTAAATTCAATGACGTACATTTACGTCCCGCCCCACATCCCCTCTGTTGGAAAGGGCAGGGTTGCTGGTCCTCGCCGCCAACCCCGGCTCCCCTCGCTGTGTCTCACCTGTACAGGGGCCCCCAGCCTCCCAGCCTGCAAGCCTTCTCCTTCTCCTGTGTCCTGCAGGCTCCGACACCCTCCCCGCCACCATTCCTGTCCTGAGCCAGGAGCCAGAGGCTTCCACCTTGAGATCGCCTGCCCTACCCACACTTCCTAGACTGTGCTCAGCCCACAGCGGTGAAGGCTCGGTAGCCTACCACTTTGTTGAGGGAGGGAATTGCAGTTTTTATCTCCGGAAACACATCTAAGGAACCGGAGCGAAAGGACGGAGCCATAGCTCCAGGAGTCCCCGCTGGCTCTCTCCCTGTCCCTGCTCAAGTCTTGGACGTGTGTGGCTCTCGCGTCCCTGGCTCTGGCCCTGCCCATCCGCACAGGACTGGTCCCTGGTGGGAGCTTCTGGGTGTGTCCCAGCGTCCCACCACTCTGCAAAGACAGGCAGTCCTGAGAGAGCACGGGACCCCCTTCACAGGGGAGGACCCTCGGGCACCAGGTCCCTGGTCTGACATCAGATGGTGAGTGAGGGCCGGCCGAATGGGACCCAGCTCGGGTCCAGCTGATGCCAGGACTCACCTCACACCACACTTCGCCCCCTCCTCCATGCATTGGATCGTTACCATGGCAACCCACAATGTGTATTTAAAGGAGATCATGCATCCCTCTCCAAACACTGCTATTGCTTCGGGTTGGTGCTGCTGGTCCCTGTCCCCAAGCACGGAGGTCCCTGATTTGCCAAGGCTGGTCCCAGTTCTCCCCCTCTCCTGTGCATTAAACTGTATCACAGGAGCCTCGGTGCCCTATACAAAGTTTCACGAGACGGTGTGGCAGGCGGGGCTTGCACTGTTCATCAGGTGTGCCCTGGTGAGGGTTGGTTGTGTGTCCTGTTTGGTCAATGCTGGTGTCGTTCTGGGTGTCAGACATTTTGAATATCGCCCCTGCTTCCAGACCGGGACCTTTCACTCCTCAGGGGTCCATCGAGGTGTGTTCCATGGCCCCGAGCTGGAACTGCAACCGGTGTCACGGACACCAGGCTCTAGTCACAGCCGCCTGTCCCCTTCAGAGACCGAGATGGATTCGGGTGTGTGGTCAGCACCAGGACGAGTTAGGAGAGTTTTCCTCCCAGGACTTCTAGACCGTCACGCAAACAGACCTCTGCTCTCTGTGGCCGGACCCAGCTGCGCGTCAGTGGCGCACATGGGGGGGGGGGTCTCCACCGGAGGGGTCCAGCCCACACAGCTGTAATGAGAGGGGAGGGGGCCCCGCGGCCAGTGTACATTTCTGTTCAGTCGCAACAGGGAGAAGCTTCTTTTCCATCAAAATCTCCTACGTCTGCGATCTCGCTGATCTCTGTGCAGCGGAGCCAGGGTTCATTCTCCGAGTTTCGGGGTGGGCTGCCAGCGGCGTCCAGATTCGTAGCTGTTATAGCTGCTCCGTGGATTAGCCTTTTCTTATCATGTATTGTATCATAATAAAGTGGTATTTAATTAGATTACGACTTCAAGATTTTTTAAAAGATTTTATTTATTTTATTTTAGACAGAGAAAGAAAGGGAGGGAGAGAAACATCAATATGTGGTTGCCTCTTGCATGCCCCCCACTGGGGACCTGGCTAGTAACCCAGGCACGTGCCCTGATTGGGAATCAAACCAGCGACCCTTTGGTTCACAGGCTGGTGCTCAATCCACTGAGCCACAGCAGCCAGGGTTCCCTTTGTTTTTTACTCTATTTCTAGGAAATGCTTGGATGTGTAAACCTACTGCGCCTATAGAAGTCCTTTTTTTAAAACCCTTATTATGGGAAATTCTTTAAAAATATTTTTTTTCCTGATCTTGAAAGTCTAGTATACTCAAAATATTTAAGTATTTCTTGGATGATAAAACATAGGAGAATGAATCTTCTTAACCTTAATTTAAATATAAAATATCACATTTCCTAGAATTTAAAATGCCATTGATCATCACAATGTACCATTCTTCCACATATCATTAAAAAATGCTTCCAGGTATGACATGACGCGTTCTTATCACATCCCTTGGAAGGTGCGTCTTGATTTCAAAGAGATGCAAGTGTGGGGGAAAATGTGTACCTTAGAGTTGATAAAATTCGAAGTTACAGATGTAGGCTTGGAAGACAGAGCGGTTGGGTTCAATGTGTGCCGATCCCAAGATGTTCCAAAACCAGGAGGAAATGCTGTGTCTGGAGCGACACCAAGATCACGGCAGGTACTCGATGAAAGCTCGAGAGAGAGAGTCAGCCTTGCGACCGAGGTCGGGCGGCTGCTAATGAACAGGGAGACGCGTGCGAGACAGTTGCTTTTTTACTGCTAAGCACAGACTATGTCCACGCCGTGTGCTGTCACGCACAGCGTAACAAGATAACCCCAAATGAGGCGGATGATCTGGCCCAGCCCTGGAACAGTTCAGTGAGAAGACAGATGGCAGTGAGCGGGATCCGACAAGGTGTAGGGGTGGGGGTGTCTTCAGAGAGGTAACCGCTGACGTTGTGGGGACAGGTGTCAATGGCCGTAGGAGCAGACCCAGGCGTGCCTGTCTGCGGTGTCGGGAAGAGGGTCTGGGGAAGCAAACCGTGACGACGTGGTTAGGGAAATAAGAGAAGCAAATGCGGGGGCAATTTGCCACTGAAGCCCGAGACGGAGAGAGGGCTTTCACAAGGAAGGAGCGGTCCCCATCGTCAGATTGCCGAGAGACGGGGCGAGCCCAGGAGTGACGATGTTGTCAGCCGTGGCACTTAGGAGGGGACTTCCAGTGAAGTCACCTCGGGATCGGGATTGGCGCAGATGTCAGACTGTCATGGACTGATGAGTAAACGCAGAAAGAGTTTATCTAGAAAAAGCTTGCAAGAAAGGCTAGGAAGAGGCAGGAAAACACCAGGAAGGGCAGAACGGAATCACCGAGTGCAGGGTGCGGGGGAGCGGAGAGGCTCCCACCCCCATGGAAACAAAGCAAAGGGCGGAGCGTCTGGGCGCAAGAGGAAGGTGGGCGGGGAGCGCATCTGGGGGGCTAGGAGGGAGGCTGAGAGGATACAAGTTCAGTCTCTCTGTGGCTCCAGTCCCAGCTCTGTCCCTTACTCTATGGACTTGGACAGGTTACTTATCCTGTGCCTGTGAGATATTAAGAATGAATCCTCAGAAAGAAGACAGACACTCCAAAAACACCCCTACAGTAAATATGAGACATTTCTCAGAGGTTTTTTTTCCTTCTTCTTTTGATTTTAATGTAGGCTGATGACATCAGTCCAAAGCATAATTCTAGGAAAGAATCTTACAAGGGGACAAAATGATGTATTTCAAGTGCACGGCTCTCTGACAGTTCGGCTTTTAAGAGTATCGGAATTACAAATGGGTTTCATCCTGCGTGCCAATGCTGGGGAGACGCCAGGGACGCCAGGCAGCACTGCTCCCGCGGAGTCACGTCGGAGCGAGAGAGTCTAGGCGCAGCATTAGAAAGGGCAGCGGATTCGAGAAGTTGGCCGGCGGCTTGGAAGGGATGGTGGGAAGAGTCCTCGTGAGTTTGCTGACCCTGGACCCAAGGGAAAAAAGGGCTGTGTATCCATCAGAGAGTTTTCCGTCAATGCTATTGAGCTTTTTGATGAGTAACGGCTTGTGGAGCTTTCCGTGTGCGTTCTCGGAGAAGTACGCACAGTGTGCAGCGTGCATTAGCGGCACACACGTCATTTGCAGCGGTCGGCTACAGTCAGTAGGTGTGGCGTACGTTTACGAATGTTAGGATGTACGGCCAGGATACATCCATCAATTTAACGGGCGCCCTCTCCACCCACTCCAGGAAGAAGACCGTGGAAATACCTGAGGCAGAATCGTTCCTGGAAGAGTTTCAGGGTGTCCTGCAAGACATGGAGGAAAGGAGACGGAGATCCCAGTGCTGCAGTGTCACGGTGAAGGCTAAGGGGGCCTCTCCGGATTTTGGAGGCAACAGGTTCCTCCGGCCCATTTACCAAGTGCCCCCCAAAGCTGTTAGTTTTGAGTGATGCCCAGAAAAAAGAAGGCTCTGAAATACCGTATTTTGCTGTGTATGATGTGCACCCACATCTCCGTGTGCATTATACTTGGGATTATTATACCCATGGTACGCAATCATTATACCCATGGAGGATGCGCATCCTTACTTTTCCATAAAAAATTTGGACATAAAAGCGGGCATTATACATGGCAAAATATGGGTTGGTCCAGAGTGCTGTGAGAACTGCTCCGCCCCTGGGCCGTCCGGGCCAGCAGACAGACGGTGCTGGATGTGTCCCTGGCTGACGGGGTGCTGCTGGGAGCCATAGGCAGCCCCCTGCAGGTGAATGGCAGCTCAGAGCCTCAGGATGTGAGAGCAAAGGCCTGTGTCCTCTGAGAATAACTGCTCTTCTTCTGAGAAATAGCTCCTGGCCCGCTACCGGACCTTAGCAGAGACCAGATACTCAACCACGGGCCACCACGTTGCCGTGGGACCGGGGCTTCCCCGCGTGAGCTGGGTGTCCACGGTCTTGTGAGGAGGTACGCTCCACTCCGTGAGAACTGCTTGAGCTTCCTAACTCCTGCAGACCGGAATGTGTGTGTGGGACAAGGGTGGCAGGGACACAACGTTGGGTCCGGCTTTTGGGCTCAGCCTGGCACGCACACCCCCGTCTCTCCTGCGTATCAGGCCTTCCGACTGCAGATCACGGGACTTCCCAGCCTCCATAATTGTGCGAGCGCAGTCCTTATAACAAGTCATACGTGTAAAATTAAAGTCACACATATCTCTGTATCTCCTCTTGTTTCTTTCCACTGGAGAATGCTAATCTGGCTAAATCATACACAATCTCTATGTGTCCATTTCCCCATCCTAGAAAATTATCATAAACAGAGTTCCTACCCTCAAAGTTGTGAGGGTTAAAAAAAAGCCAATTCACATGAGTTTGTTGAGGTCAAATTAGTGTCTTACATATTTTTATATCCTTAGCACCTGAAGTGTATGGCAGAACACAGATGTTCATAAATATTGGTTAAATGACCACCAGTTTTTAAGAATAATCCTAACATATATAAATGTATCATTCATTATTATTTAACAAATATTTATGGGTTCCTACTATGCTCAGACATTGTGCTAGGCTTTGGGCACGTATTTGGAAACATAAATATTTCCATTAAAAGGAAAATAAATCATTGATACAGACTGTTACACTATTTTTTTCTCACAGAAGTATTCTTAAATAAAAATTTCAATTCCATGAAAATTTCCTTTTATTGAAATGAAATAATAAAGAATGATATTAATTTACTTTTATTTCTTCTTTTTTTTAAAGTACTTTATTTATTTTTAGAGAGAAGGGAAAGGAGGGAAGAAAGAGAGGGAGAGAAACACTGGTTGCCTCTTGCATGCCCCCAACCGGGGACTTGGCCTGTAACTAGGCATGTGCCCTGACCAGGACTCCAACCGGCAACCTTTTGGTTCAAAGGCCGGTGCTCAGTCCACTGAGCCACACCAGCCAGGGCATTAATTCACTTTTCAACCAAAGTGCAAAACAAATAAATAGAAGATAGGAATTTTAGTAATAGGGTACTTGAATGCTTTTTTTTTTTTTTTGTGGAGATGATTTCAAATATGTTGCCTTTACAGCAGAGGCATGAGCCTAACTTTCTTTCAAACAGGTCAACTGACCATTCTGAAGCTTCCCCTATAGTAATGCTAGTCAAGGTAACTTAGGCCATATTTCCAGATTAATTGTAACATGATTAAATTTTGCATTACTTTATCTATGTGTTGGTTGGTTAGCTTGCAATAATTAGATTACAGGGTGGCCCAATTATTTGCTGTAAACAGTCATGCACACACCCTAAGGCTTAATTACCATGACTAAATCCATCCCACCCCGAATTCATTGGCCATCACTCACAATAGCTTTCTTTAACTACACGTTCCCAGAGAAAGGCATTCAAAGAGCAGACTAAGACGCATGATGAAAGCTTTAGCGGTTAAAACAACTGCTGACCATCTCTTAGAGATCAGTTTCTCTTCAGTGTAGAAGCTGCAATTCTACCCCAAGCAAGTTCTAAAAGAGTCATCTCTCTCTTCCAGCTGATCTTGGACGGATTTTTTAAAACTTTTCTTTGCTGACTGGAGAATACATTCTTCTTTTTGCTCTGTGATTGTCTAACTACTGTGCTGTACACCTGAAAAGAATACAAAACAATATTGAATGTAAACTGTAATAAAAAAATAATTAAAAAACGGGGAAAAATCTTAGGGCTTTAGTGGAGATTAATAAAATAACTACACCTGGGTCTTGTCCAGGAGAATTTACCATTCAAGTTACAGAAATCTTAGAACATTATGGCTAGTTACAAAGAAAGATTTTTAAAATGCAAAGCGCCTATCATATTGACGCTGAGAAGCGCAGCAAAGAGTCACGAAGCTATTGTTGATTTCGACATTATTTATTAGGTCACCAATTCCCACTTTACTGCTGGGTTTTAACAGAAGTTCCGGAGCGAAGAGAAGGGGAGGGGAGGAAGCCAGTCTGTTCCTGCTGTTCCGATTTGCGTGAGAGCCCCAGGACTGGCGGGAATAGCGCGCTATGATGCACCGGTCGCGCGGGAGCCGCGGGTGTTACAAACCAGTAGCGCGGAAGGAATGTTGGCTAATTAAATTAACACAGGACGTTCCTCCCGCCCCGGCCCTCCGGCCTACAGCTCCCGCGGAGCCGGAGGCGGGACTGACCGGATTCAAATTTCGAGCGGGACGCCGCCGTGGGGCTCGGCAGGTGCCTCGGCCCGGCCCCTGCGGCGGACGTTTCCGCCCTACCTGCCCACAGGGCCGGAAGTCACCTAGCGGGGCCGCAGCCCCGCCTCGTGGCCGGTGTTTCAACCACGCGGAAAGCCTGAAAAAGTGTGCGCCCACGTGCAGCCACGCCTCTCCACGCTCCGGGCCGCGGGGGTCCCTATCCTTCCTTTAGAGTGCCCCTGGGCCCTGGGGGAGCCCGAGCAAAACTGGGAAGGGAGCGAAGCGGTGCAGAAGAAGGGCTGTGAGAAACACGGACGCTCCACTACCCCACTGCACAGGTTGCGCTGCAGGAGGGAGCGCTGGGGAGGTCACGCATGCGCGGACGGCGCTTCAGGCGCGTGGAGAGTCGCGCATGTGCAGAGCCAAGAAGGAAAAAAATGGAGCGCAGGGGTGACTGGCAGGCTGAGGGCGTTTTAGCGACGGAGGAGCTGCCTCGGCCGAGAGGCGCGTGCGCAGAGCGCCCAAAGGGGTGGGGCTCCTCTGCGGGGCCGGCCTCGCGCGCCCCCTGTCGCGCGCCCTGGGACAGGAAAGCGCGTGAGGGGCGGGGAGGAGGAGGCGGTGTGGAGGGCGGGCGGGGGGAGGGGAGCCGGAGCGAGGGAGGGCTTATCGACCCGGCGATTTTGGTTAAAATATTCAAAATGGCGGACGGAGGAGCAGCGAGTCAAGATGAGAGTTCAGCCGCGGCGGCAGCAGCAGCAGGTAATCATTACGGCATTTTACATATTCATATTCATACTCGAGCCCGGCTCCCGCGGCCCCCCCGCGACTTAGCATAATTTATTAGTACTCAGGATTATTATAATTAACGGCGGGGAGCTGGGGGGCCGGAGAGCGCCGAGCCCCCGCCGGGCGCCGAGCGGAGGGGGAGAGAGGCTCGGAGCGGCCGGGCGGAGGGGCACCCGGGGCACCGGGGGCTGCGGCCCGGCCCGCCAGCTGCCCGGCCCGGCCTGCACCGCCGCCGCCCCGCCGGCCCGAGCCCGAGCGGGTCCGCGGCGGGGCCGGGGCCGAGGAGGACAATGAAGACGTTTTACATATTCATAGCGGCGGGCGGCCCGGCCGGGCGGGCGCGGGGGGGGCGTGGAGGACGGGGCGGCGGCGGCACAATGCCGGGAGGCGGCGGGCCCGGAGCGGACCGGCGGCCGGACCGAGCACGCGTGCCCCCGGGAGCGGCGCGGGCGGGGCGGGGCGGCGGGGGGCGTCCGCGGGGAGCGCCCGCCGCCGCCCTGGGCCCAGGGGGTCTAGCCGGGGTCACGGCCCCGGCACCTAGTCGCACCCGCTCGCCCCCCTGGGGGCGGCCGGACCCGAGATGGCCCGCGCTCGACGTACGCGGGGCGGCGGGTGGGCGCCACTTCGCGCCCTCGGGGGGACCCTCGGAAGTCCCCCTCCGAGGGCATGTCCTCGGGCCGGCCGTCAGCAGCCCTGTGGGTCCCCGTCGGGCAGCGTCCCTGGGGAGCGGGGTGGGAGGCGCCGGCGTGGTGTGGCCCCCACAACCCCCCCTGACCGCACCGCCGAGCCGGGGTCGGGCCCCGCGTCGCTAGGTCCCCAGAGCGCGGCGGTGAGGCCGGCCGGCCCCTGGACCCCCGGCCTGACAAGTTGCTAATGTCCGGGTCTCCCTCCTGCGGGGAGTCAGGAGGCGGGGATCCCCTCCCGGGTCTGCGGCCGCGTCTTCTTGCCCGGGGGCTGGGTCCTCCCCGCTCGCCGCTGCGCCGATCCTCTCATTTGAATAATGTCTAATTCGGGGAGGTTTATATTATTGAAATGGCCGCCTGGCTTTCCCCGCCTCTCATGTTTAGTAATTCAGACCTTTAATAACAGCCACTCACAGCCCAACGCCGTGTTTATATTTTACATTCGCCCCATGTGCTTTTGTGGTTCGATATGATTCTTTTTTTTTTCCTTGGCAATCCACAGGGCTCTGAGATCAAACCCAGGCTGTGCCGGGAAGAGAAGGGGGAGCGAGGCCTGGCTCCTCCTGCAGTTGCCCAGGCCTCCTGTTCTCTGCCGCCTGATTTATTTACTAATAACCAAAAGGACTCCCCCCACCCAATCCACGCGCACCCCCTCCTCTCCGGGCCCAGGCGACCCTCCTGGGGCCTCACCAGCTTCACAACAGCCTCGAGCTGAGCATCAGCTCTGCGCTGTTTTTGTTTTCTGTTTAAAAAGGCTTTCTTATAGTTTGCAGTAATATTGGGCCTGAGGGGTGGGGAGGGGAGGGAAACGGTCCTGTTCTCCGGGGCCAAGCGGAGCCTATTTGGGTTTCACTTTGTTTTGCGGATCGGTACCCCTCTCCCCGGGCCCCTGCCCCGAGTGAAAAGCTGGCACGCTCTGCGGAGGTGAGGCTGCAGGGTTTCCACATCCCGTCTTTTCTCTTTCTCCAGGAGTTGTGGAATGGACAAGTGTTTTAGAAATCCCGATTGACAGCACTTTCAGAACTTTCTCAGGGCTGCACTGCCTTTTCAGCCTCTTCACTGAGATCTAAAATGGGCCTTATACTAATTTTGTGCCACTCACAGTGCGGACTTGTGCGTTTTGGTTGCGGCACTCCCGAACAGCACTGGGGTCTGCCTTCCCTGTGTGTTTGTGCTGGGGGTGAGTGGGTAAAAATGGAGGGATGAACACGAACATGGTGTCCGCCGTGGAGCTCACAGCCCTGTCAGCACGCCCGCCTGCCTCTCTGCGTTGTCAGCATTGATTTGGTGGTCCCCGCAGACTTGGGGCAGTTGATCTATGAGGGGCAGATTAACTTCGGCCACGCGGAAGAAGCAGTGGTTTTGATTTCTGGACTGTCCTTTGGTAAAGTTTTCTTTGAACCCTTTTGTTTTGTACAGTCGGAGTGTGTCTTTAACACCGTGGTGTTGTTGCTAGCGGAGGAAAGCATCAAGAAGTATTGTTTCACACTGACGTGTTAAACCTCTGAAATTCTGTTAAGGCACTTCGTGGTCACTTGCAGGCTA